AGCTGAACACGTGCAACTCATCAGCGGTGCAGGCACTGTCCAGCAGCTTTGGCGAGCAGTGACAGAGTATTACATCCGCAGTCGTGCTACTGGAACCATGGAAAGGGCACATGCTGTTCAAGGTTCCCCCATTCGAAGCAAGGGTTGTTTCAACTGTGGAGACCCTGGTCATATGCAATCAGAGTGCCCCAAACCAAAGCGCTGCAAACACTGTGGGAAGAGTGGCCATGTGGCCTCAGATTGTTGGGAGAAGCATCCTGACAAGAGACCGTGGGTGCACAGGGAGACTGAGCGGCTAGACAGTGTCCAGGCTACCGCCCGAGTGGTAGTCCTGGATGAGTGCAGATTGTACAGCCTGTACAGCACACAGAACATAACGGTGTTTCACTTATGTTTCACGTAGTACAGGGGGCCTGCACGTTCCAAGATAGTAACAAGAATATGTATGAATGCGCAAGGAGGCGCGCTGACTAGGCGCCGATGAAAGCTCAATCTGGTCATGATTGCACTTTGACTGCCCAACGTTGCTCCGGGTGAGCTGTGGGGACAGTCTGCCTTTCTGTGACTTCCTATGGCAAAGCTGTTTTTTGAAGTCGCCGCTGCACCCCCGCTGCTCCCCCTCCCTATGGGGGGGGGCCTGGGGGATCGAGCCTGTCTTCGTTATGCCGTTATGCTCACTAGCCTCGCCACTTTCTCGACCACATGGCTCCGCTGGGTTCGTCCTTCGACAATTTGTAGTTTTCGATCGCTGATCCAGCTGTTTTCCTTGAGTCGGAATGTCTCGTAGAGTCCTCGCTCTTCTGGAACCTTGAGCACTGGATTGCGGTATGATGCTGGAATAATGCTGCCTTGAATGCCTTCTATGGCTGACGGTTTTGATTTAGCAGACTTCCGACTGTGCATCAACCCTCTATTTTGAAGCGAGGCGGGGCGTTCAACTGCCCAGGTGTCATGAATGAATAATTTTTTGTCAATTAAAGGGCGGTCATTCTCCTTCGACACAAATGAAGCACAAGAACCTGATGATGACGTACTGAGCGTAAGGTAAGAATTCATTGCCCCAGGCTGTATTTCGTTTCACCACTCTTCTGGCTTACCCAGCCATCCTGAGATTTGAACCGTGCCATGTTTGGTGGGGTTGTGTGGTTTTGTTTGTTGTTTGGTTTGGGGGGGTTGTTTGGTTTCTTCGGTTTCTGTTTTTGGCCGGTTAATTTCTCCTCCTCTTACTAGCTTAAGGTGACTTGTGAATAACCTGCACACACAGCGCCTCGACTCGTGCAAAAAAAAGTCACATGCCTCAATCTAATGCCAGGCAAGCGAACAACCTGGCGAGGACCCTATGCAGAAAACACTGCCTTTGAGCTGTGCCTGCAATTCACAATTCCAACATGGATCAATCTCCTACCTAGTACAGGAGATGACCCCACATAATGAAACTGGCAAAACGAACACGCGACGCGACCTCAACGTGCGAACTAAGCCTCCCACAAGGTCACTAAGGTAGTGGAAGCATCGCAAGCTTTTGTACACAACCAATTACACATGCCCAGGCAGCATGCCCCAGCGACTGACTCCCAGGCGAGAACCTTTGTCCTTGTCCTGGGGCATAGCGCACAACTAGGCTGCATATCCAATTGGCCGGAGCTCAGGCGAGGGCCTTAGTCCTTGTCCTGAGGGTGGGTCACTACCCTGCCAGCTGTGTGCCAAAGAACTGTACAGACAACTTATGTTTCACACGGGCTTTGCACGACTTTAGAAGGACAGGAGTCGAGATTTCGCACCACGACCAAGAGGAAGTGTCCATTTGACTGTTCGCCACATTGATGCTGTGTACTCCTGTTGGCTAAGCTGTTTTGGAGTACACTTTGGCCCTCTGGAGCCACCTCCCTCCCTCGTGGAGGGAGACACTGGCAACTACTTTGTGGCTTGCACAACACCTTGGCCCTGGTCGCAGAAGCAGTCGCATGATCACATAATCACACAGCGCACAGTCCACTTTGGCGACTCTGTGCTCTTTCGTTTGTCGAGTCTGAGCTTTTGTCCCCTTTGGTTTTCCAATGATATCCCCCAAGCTGTGAGACTTGTGCACCTTGACTCGCGCTCTTTTGACTTACCAGCAAGTTTCAAAAAATCAAAAAGAAGAGTGCCAAATCCAGATGCTAAATTGTCATCCGCTAATCAAGACGAGCGGTATGAGCACTTCTTTAAACAGTGCTCACGACACAGGCCTGCTGTGACAGGCCTATCGCATACCGCTTTTGTTGACGCAATCCATTGCATCGCACTATGCACCAGTTGCCCTTCGACCTTTTTTGTTGCCTTAATTAATCGCCCAACACAACCTCGCAATTGTGTCCTTACGTTTCACTTGGGTTTCACCCTTTGCATGTACATTGCAGAGTCTCCAACGTGCTCGGTTTTTGGTTTTGGCTGTTTCGGTTGTTTTTGGGGCTTTGTTTTGTTTGGTTTCTGGTTGCCCTTTGGAGACTCTTCCTAGAAAAATCGCACAAGCTGACCTGTGCATCTTCTGCATGAACGGCGGCTCCACTCGTGCAAAAAAAACTCGGCAACACAGTGTAAATGTTGTGACCTGGAAGATCAACAGGCAGTTTGGGATTCTGTGAGGCATTGAACTGAACCTGATAGACTGCCTGCACAGCCATTTGTTCTGACCCTACTGCCAGGTCGGTCAGTATGGTGCCTGCCTGCTCAACCTCCTCATTCGGGGGTTCTTCTTTCAGCAAGATTGATTTCTTTCACTTCTTGTGCCAGATCCATTGCATCTGGCATTTCAGGATCAGCAGCAGTAGCAGCCCGCACGGAGGAGGCCGGCTCGCGGCGGGAGGAGCAAGTCGGATCCAAAGCTTCCGAAACTCTTCGAAGCACAAAGTTCCGACAAGGAACGCTTGCTCAAGCATTGAAAAAACCTCACAGCTGAGGCTTCGCAAAGCACTTGGACATGAACGCCACTGTTCTCAAAACAGTTGCTCTGACACAGGTGGTTGCAAACCGACCTCGCCACCAGTGCACGGTCAAACACTTTCACACCCTTTCGAGGTCAAGTGTCAACATCATTCTGCTGCTTGGGACTCTTCTCATGCCTCGTCTTCACCATTGTCCTGAACGGAAAAAGAGTGAGCTGTACGAGTTCCTCTTTCGTCCTTTGCGGTTTCAACCGAGCAACAATGTAGCGGTCACTCGTGATAGCGCATATACTTTTTGGCGAAAAACATTGGTCTAAAACATTGGCAACTCATTCATTTGTGTTGATGTCTTGTTGATGTTCTTGAATGTCCATTTCGACATGTCACACAGTACACCAATGCTTCAAGGTGTTCTCTGTTTTTGATTCACTGTCTGGCCGACCCATGCCCACCCTGTGACGCTTTCGCTGCACACCCCAAAGCAGATTTCGATGCCGGTCTTTCCAGACCTTTTCACCCGTTTGCAGCCACACCCAAGGCCAGGTGATGAGCAACATCTCGAACCTCCCCATTGCCCGGAGTGGAAAAAGAGTGTGCTGTGCGTGTTTCTTCTTTCTTCCTTTGCGGCCTCAGGCGAGAAATCGGTGAACACGACTTTTGCCAGCGCGTTTGGCACGTCACGCATGGTGACGACAGTGTGCCGCATGTTGTTTGGATCAACCAAAAAACACGATTAAAATCCGTCCAACTTTTGTTGTCGATTAAACGGCTTGAATTTCACAGAATCAGCGGTGTTGTTTTCGAAGGAAAACTTGAGAGTGGTGGCCATCGGGAAGCAAGTGAAGTCAATCTTTCATGGGAGGAAATCGTGCCCACTTGCAAAGGGCTGTGAGCTGCTGGAAGATCCTGCACGCACAAGTGGCAATTGGTCGTGCAAAATACATGGCCAACAATTGAGGTTCTGAGTTCTGACAATACATGGCCAATACCTTTTTGGACCCAGGTCTTGACTGCAAGACCTGCACCCGGAGCGACGCTCGTCGCTCCGCTGGCACTTTGTTTTGATCACAGCTTTTGCCTGCAACCTTGAAAATCCAATTACTCGTTTGCAACTTCTGCGTTGGCTGGGAGGACCCAACGAAAGACCCGACCAACGAAAGCCTGCTGAACGATTTGTCAGTTTGCACATCCCAAACCCACTTGCGGGTACATGCTTGTACTCTTCAGTGTGCACCGAAAATTGAGGACACGGTGCGTGGGGTCTATTTTTTCTATTTTTTCATTACGGACGCATTCTTTGCGGACGCAAACAATTGGGGCGGGGTTGTGTAGGCCGCTGCACACCTCGGCTCACTCGGTCGCGCAGAAGGCCCGATGACTTCCAGGCGCCGGTTCTCGGTCGGTTTGGTGGGGTTCTTTCGAGGCCCGAACACCGTCCTGGGAGTTCTCCAAGTCCCATGGATTCAGAATGGATGGGACAAACCTCATTCTCTTTGTGGTCAGATTCGTTGGGTGAGGCTTTTGTATAGCCGACTCAGTTGACGCGATTCTCTGTGATAACTTTAATTTGAAACATTTTTTAAGATATAAGAAGGTTTCCAAATGTTTGAGTGCTTTGGTGAGTGTGAGTCTTTCAAAGATTTCACAACCTAGACAACTGTTCATGTCAGACGAATCGGCCAAAAGAGACTGACATCCACATTCTTTCGCAGTACGCTTCAATCTAAGAATCTAGGATCGACCATGCCCAAACCCGACTCCCAAAGAGGACATCTCTTTGTTGTGTAGCTGGGGATGTTGAGGCTCCTTGTTTCAGCTGGTCTTCGTCAAAAGAACAACTGCAAAAACGTGCAAAACCTGCAAAAACGATAGGCCCCCCTCAAAAGCGATAACCTTGCTGAATCATGTCCTTTGCTTGACAGTACGTTTTGGCAGATGCTCAAATGACCCGTGAATCTTTGAACTTCATGTGCTCTGCCGGTAGAATGGACCACTGTCATTTGGAACCTTGCCTTGGCCCGGCCAAAGCGACTCCCAGCCGTCACTCGGACAGTGGTTTTGAGGACTTCCGTGGCCATGGCGCTGGGCGCCACCGTTGGCGCAGGTTGGTCCTTGCAGGCAGGAATGGGGGCAGGAAGCAGTGGTCTATTCGCTCCAACAAGGTGAGACCTCTTCCCTGTGTATGTGTTCGAGCCAACATTTGGCTTTCAATCGACCAATTTTCGATCTTAAAACATGTGGGAGTGCCAACATGCACCCAAAAAGTGACCCAAGAGTCATCAGAATGCTCAAAGAAAGACATCATTTCGAAGGCTTTTCCTCTGCTTGGAACCTGCCTGCAGCGCCAGCTTTTCGGTTTGGAAGGCCTTCTTGGCGCCGACCACCGGAGCGTCACCAGTGACGCCCACCCCCATGCTGCGTGGTGCAGCCGCGGGTGCGTCGGCAGAGGGACGCCCGGTCGGGGAGGTGCCATGGGCTCGGTCGCTGGTCTTGTTGGGTTGAAGATGGGTCTTGCCATGATAGCGAACGAACAAACGAACGAACGAATGAATGATTGCATCGATGATTACCCTTGGAACATGATTGAGGCTCAAACACTCCAAGGGCTCTGAAATGGTCCGGACGAACGAAGTCTGTGAAATTTGGAGCAGATGCCCTCCGAAGTCCCATTCCAAGTAGTCGAAGGAGAATGATCCCCACGATTGTGCAAACCTGTGCGATTTGACCTTGCTGGGCAAACTGAGGGTCATTGTTCGTGGAGAATGAAGGTTCCTCACCCCAAGCAACAGTCAAAGCAGCCAGGACTGGCGCTGACTAGAGAATGAGGAACTGAATGGCAGGTGGCATTTGTCTAAGTTTCACACACCATTTGCCCCATTTTGCACCCGTTTCACGTTCCTTCTCGCTTAAAGGATGCATCCCATAGAGCACCGAGCTGCGGAAAGGTCCCGGGTGCCAGGCAAGTCTCTCCGGGCACCAACGGGGGTCGTGTTCGGTGCCACGGACGCCTTTGGGCTTCATGGGGTGCCGCAGGTCGCAGCGGCCGCGGTCTGCACAGCAGCCCTGGCCTTGGCGCACCAGCGCAGGACCAGCAAGCTGGCGCGCAAGGCGGAGGTGGGACCGGTGGGAAAGAGATGGGGTGGGCTTCTGTGGAAATATGCATGTCACAAGAGATGTGAGGCTTTACACATTCCGTGGATTGGTGCTGTTAGTGTTGTTGTTTGTTGTGTTAGTCGATTTTTTGTCCGGGGTTCGCGTTTGCAGTTGACAGTTCTCGGCGTGTGGAGCATTTATCATTCTGTAAGTGGAAAAGAGAAAGAAAGGCAGTTCCTGGGGTGGCATGAAATACTGAGTGTCGCCGTGGCGAACGGCAGATCTGGGACGGGTGGGCGACCAGACCATGACTCTCCAGACCAGGCCTTCAGACATAAACATCTGCCGTTCGAGTCGAGAGCTAGAAATAGTATTGCCTCGATTCCTTTTGGTTCGGCTGGGGTCTATGCCCATCATGTAGACTCTTGATGAATCACCGCCCCATATCAACCCAAACGGGTGTCTTTTAATCAAGAGTCAACATTAGGTGGTTGGAACATGTTGGAACATGTTGGATGGGATTTCCACGCGAGAGACTCCAGCGGTGGATTGGTGATAGCAAAAGCCTAGATGGAGAACTCCCTCGACGACTTGGAAGATTCGGAAAGTGCTCTAGTATAATTCACCATGTTGGGTATTCACACGAAATGGAAACATATCTGTTTCAATCGAATCCCTGCAACGCTGGCAACGAGTTGGCCTTGGGACATCTACACCTTTTGTTGTTTCGTTTTGGTCCCTCACAGCTGATCTGCCAGGAGAAGCCCTTTGCAGGTGGCCTGATTGGTGGCGAGTCCGCCTTCTCGGGGCAGGAGCGACCCCTCAGATCGGTGACGGGCGAGCCCAAGTCCCACTTCCGACTCATTTCTTTGCTGCCGGACCTTGGTGTGGGTCGTTTTTTGGTTTCGCAATTCTTTTCCAACTTGCCTGGGTCGGGTATTTGGACGTTCTGTCAAGTACCTCTTCGGGCTGGACCAGCTTGTGGCGCTTGAAGTGGCCCGAAGTGGCCCGCTTCGACGCCTTCGGACCGGGCGACGCAGCACACACCACTCCCCGGCCTTCGACCCGTCCTGGGAGGCCTTCAACTTCGACCCCCTGGGGCTCTCCGTGAAGTGCGAGAAGTACCTCCCATGGTTCCGCGAGGTGAGTGCGAGTCTGGAGCTGTGCGTTTTGGAGTGGAGGTTCGAAATCGAAGGACACCAGGCACCGGTCAGTCAAGAGCTCGGGTGAAAAAACCACATGCAGTTTCCCTGAATAAATCGAAGATCAAATTGCCAAGGCGGACTTTCGACGGAGATCGTTCTTGCAAAAACGTTGTTCCCCAAAAACAGAATCGTCTCCCTGTCCTGCTCGTTGGGTGCTGAATTCACAGACTGGACACTTCCATCTTGAGATCAACAGCCCTGTTTCGCTCCAGGTTTCGGAAGCACCAGGTATGGACTAGACTTCTGCTGCTCCACTCGTTGTTGTTTTTTGACCTCTGACCTGATGCCACGCTGCTCAACTAGGAGTTGCAACTCCCTTCCAACACTCCCTCCTAGAGTCCTTACTTACAAAAGGTCCACAACAGACGTTGAGAGAGTCCAGATTCTCAATGGTGGTTGAAGGCCTCCGAGTGCAGATAGAAGGCTTTCTGCACCGATTCACCGCAGGACACATAGTAGGCGGACGTACCATTCCTACGAATGGAGGGACTTGCCCCAGACCTGTGGTGACATACTCACATGCCCACACAGAGGCCATGAACGCTCTGCCGGACCGTTGACGCAGCAGGGTCAACTCAGGGTTGTTCAAAGGGTATCCTTCACAGATCGGATGTTAGCAAGGCGTTACCTTGAGCCTCGACGTGCTTGCTTTATTGGGATCCGAAACGTCCGCCCTTCGCCCCGCCCGCGACGGTTCGCCCCCCCGTCACACCCCATGACACAGGAGGACCGCCCCCCGTTCACACCGCCACAGGCGGAGCTGAAGCACGGGCGCATTGCCATGTTGGCCTGGGTCGGCTTGGTGGTGCCGGAGTTCGTCCGCATTCCAGGCCGATCTGGATGGGGGAGAAGCTGTAGGGTCTGGGGGGGCAGGTCTGGGGGACCTGCCGAGCTGGGCACCGGAGCTTTTGGTCACTACTTGGGCTGGTGGGAGGGGGGCTTTTGTTAGACGGGTTGCTGAAGGCACGAAGGGTTGGAGGATGCGGCTTGAGAGTTGGCTGAATGGGAGGCGCTCGGAAAAGTGAACGTCAGAGATGATTGAACGTGGGTCCGGCATTGGATCCGGAGCTCCTTCACCAATGAGCAAGAAAGAGTATTACATTGATGACTACCTCTCTATTTTCTGCGTAGTACCCTCCATTTGACGGACACTTCGTCAATGTCTGAATGATGGTTGGCGGCGGTCCTTTTCAATTCAAATCCATGCTGAAACTCTTTGGCCCTACAAATGTTCCACCCTGCCGTAGAATCAGGGGTCGAAAGAATCTATCATGATTTTTGTGTTCATAGTTGTTCATCTACTTCTCTTTAATTTTTCCTATTACAGCTTGATCAAAAATTCATTTCTGTGTAGTGGCTGAGGCTGTGCGAGGACTTGAAACATAGGAATGCATAGGCACCAAAGCATGATCTCCTGAACAAGAAGACCAAGCCAGCCACACACCTCTCCATTTTCACCCGAGATGCGCATGGCCGCTTTCCAGGCCCTGACGCGTGCTATGGTGCAAAGAATGTGGTCGAAGCGCACAACGCCTGCGCTGGCGATCCCTACTTCCCCTTTGTCATCAACTCCACTGTGACCTGACGAAGAACGTGACAGGGACCGGTCTCCTTGACCCAAGGGACCCTGCGGAGTCCCGAGGGTTGAGTCTTTTTGGACTGTGCGCTGCCCTGTGGCCTTTTTGGTGCCACAGGGCCAGTTGACTGGATTTATTCTTAGGGAAGTGTTTTAGATCTTGGGGCCTTTAGGGGGTGAGAAAATGGGTCAAAAGCAGCTGGTGTTCTCAAACCACGTTGTCATTTAAAGGAAATCATCAAGTCTGCCAGCTCCCCCTTGGCCACTTCTGCCTCCGGAAGCTGCCAGTTCGGTTTCCTCCCAGGACTTCTACGGCACCAGCGGCCACCAGGTGGGCCCTCTCTTCCAGGTGCGCCCTGGCCCGGGAGGGTGGGACCATCCTCGGCCGTCCGCGCGGCGTTCCTCCGCGGCGAGCCACGGAGGTCTTCGCCTTCTGCGGGCTGGTGGAGATGCTGACGACCTTCGCCGCTGGGTGAAAGGGGTGGAGAGGTCAGGGAAGCAGGTGACAGGGTGGTTAGAACGGTTAGGAGTTGAGAAAGTGAGCCAGCTGAGGCAAAGACCAGCAACATCTCCAACAAGCCTGGGCTGACCCTTGAGAATGCAGGAGGGGTGGTGGGCGGCACAGCGGCAGTCATGGGACGTGTGGATTGCAAGGTCAAGTGTGCTTGACTTTCACTCAGGGTGATTCGTATACCAATTCCTCCAACTCTTGAATCTTCTTCCAGGTGCCTTGAGAGAGAGTGTGTCTGTGTTTCGAGATTTCAGTCTTGGTGTTTTTGGACAGCAATGGGTCACGAAGGACCGGTGATGCCGGTGTTGGGACCGGTGCCCGCTGACCTGGGGCGGAACAGGGACGAGTGGGTGGTGTGGGCAGCAGCTTGAACTGAACTTGAAATAAGACGTGTACCAATGGGATCAATGGGAACCTCTGACTGCTGACCTCCGTTGCGGGTCTCTTGCTGGATGTATTCAGCCGTGTTGCGTTGTTGCATTGCGTTCTGCCCGCAGACTCGATCGCTCTGACGATCAAAGAACTGAACACATCCGACCGAAGGCACGATCAGAACTGTTCCACACCGATGCACCCCTAAGCACCCTGGCGCCCCTAAGTCCCTAAGCACCCATGCACAAAAGAGTTCGCCCTCCGCGCAGGAGATTACCGCCTGGGTTTGAACTTCCTCCCCAAAGAGCCTGAGAAGATCAAGGCGACCTCGCAGAAACCGACGTCGAGGGGAGATCGATGGGAGCCATGAAGAATGGAAGAATGGAACCAGGGAGGGTTGTGTTGGAGAAGGGTCGGGTTCTGGGGCCTCTAGTGGCTTGCTTGGAGACGATTGTAGATGATCTCTGACCCAATGAGTTGTGGGATGGGGTATCCTTGTTTCCGTGGTGCCTGGCTTGGTCTTCTTGCTCTTGTCTTTGCAATCCATCTTGGTGGGAGATTCTTCCCGCAACCCGGAAGGCCCGCTTTCCGCGGTGCATCCGAAAGCTGGCACGGTGCATCGGATGCCGAACTTTGCGGTAGGAGATGAAGTTAAAGGAGTTGAAGAACGGGCGCCTGGCGATGTTGGCCTTCGGTGGAGCCATCACTCAGGTGACTGGATGGGTCGGAAGTGGGCTGAGAAGAGGCAAAAGAGGGGAATGCGGAACTGAAACAAATCGCCGCAGGTGAGGTCTGAGGTCTGTGATTAACATCATTTACAGTAACATCCTTCACTTGATGTAAAACGGTGTAGGATTGTTGAGGTACACTTCAGTCTTCAAGATGCCTGACAGGGAGAATGCATTCATACAATACTTCAAGAAGTGTGCTAAGAAGCCTGCAGTTCCCTCTCGACCGTTCTAGTTCTAGCATTGTTAGGATGTTCCCTCAGGACAAGAGCTTTCTCGAATCTGCCAGGCCACGCTGACTGGCAACGGATTCCCTTGGCTCTATGCTCAGAAGGAGCATCAATGGATTTTGAAGGGCCCTGCGGGGTGATTGTAGGAAGCAGCATCAGCACCTCAGCCCGTACGCAACATGAGGATCGATTGCATCGAACTGCCGAAGCCACTGACGACCCCCAAGCAGCGTCAAATCGGAGCCCAAGAGAATCCAAACCTGAGTACAATGGCGCCATCCGCCATCATGGCCTCTCTCTTCACCCCGAGGCACAAACTCCTCATCATACATACTGGGTGCAAAACGAGCAAAAGGGACACCAAGCAACATCGGTCCCCCTCAGTAGCCACAGGTCATGAAAAGGGCCAGATGAACACATTGTCAAACAGTACAGATTGCTCTCTCCCTTGTTTGACCGACCGCTTTTTGGATCCAACCAGTGGTTGGACCACTGCGGACCAAGCGCTCCAAAGCCACCGCGCCCGACACCGCAGGAGTCTCAGACATCCACCTTCGGAGCCTCCGTGCCCAGCACCCGTCCGCGCGCGATGCTCGGAGGTGCCGAGCCTGGCGGGGGCCGGGGGAAAGCGGGAGGGGGCCGGGTGGGCGTGAAGGGACCGCGCGGGGGGGGGGGACGTGGGGGGGGGGGGGGGGGGGTTTTTTGTTGCGGGTGCTTTTCGGGAGCGAGGCGAGCAGGTGCCAGCAGCTGGCCACGCCAAGGGAGCGAGCTTGGGGTGAAATGTTTGATTCTGAATCTCCCAAAGCTTGGCAGTGCGTCAGTGCGTCATTGTCGGTGGTGTTCGCCACTCCCGTTTCGCTTCCCCAGACTTCCAGACCTTCCTCGACCTCAAGTTCTCGGAATGTCTGTTGAGTCTGGAGGCCACCCTGGCCACCTTGCACGTTTCCAAACGACCCGTTGCCCGTTTCCCCCTACAAAGTTTGGACCAGTCCGAAAAGGTGTTCACCACCCCAAGTCCCGGTCGGCCAGTCCCGGCCCGACCATCCACCACTCAGCTCAGACCCGGGTTCGTCAGTAGGTGCCCGAACGAAGGTGCAGAGGCGGGTCGCTGGTTGGGGTCATGACGGTCATGGGTCATGTCTTGAAATCCTGTGATGGTCCTGGAATGTTTTGCACAGGAGCCAGGGTAACTTGGTCAAAACATTCCTTCTTTTACTATGAGCCAGGGTAAGCCAGGGCATTGGTCGGTGCGCAAAAACTCTTGCCCAGCCCTAAAGCGTTCTGGTCAAGAGACATCTGAGCAGATCTCAGAAAAACATGGTTGGATAAAGCATGAAAAAGCTATGCCGAAGCTTAGGAACTCATTCTGTTGGATTGGTCCAGATAGGTGGACAGGTGCAACTCAAGGGGCAAAGTGCAGAAGGGGCAGAGGGAAGTGGTCGCCTGCAAGTTCCTTGCCATTGATCCATAAGCATCCCCAGATAGATTACTTTATAATTTTTTGTGTTGATGTTCAGTCACCTAGGTCTGGACCAGACGAGAACCTATGATCTTCTTCGGCAAACAGCCCCTCATATAGGGCCAAACTAGGAGAGACCCTATTCCAAAAGGAAACTTCTTGAGTTCTGTTCACAATCCGAAGGAAGACTGTTTGCTTTCAGCGTATGTTGCTCTCTCCACTGACAAAGGCTCAAGACTGTGGAAGCGATGTTCCAGCCACGCAGAGCATTCATCGGACCAGGAAGAGACCGCACATCGGAGCAGGAATGTCCCTGAACAACCTAAAGTTTGAGTCTCAAGAGCAGAAAATCATCTAACCCTTGGTCGCTTGGACCGCTTGGATGGATTTCTTCTAAAAGTGGCATCACATCAGGGCTTTCACACTCCAGCGACTCCAGCCGGCCTTTTTTCGCACACATCCACCGCTCACGCCCTGAGTTTTCTCGCTCATTTCAGCATAAGCTGTGCGATGGCGCGCCGTGGGATTGCCACTTATGAGCCTCAGGATGCGCAGGAGTTCAACATTTTTTGGCAGGAGAGGTCTGCGCCCGGTTTGGCAGGAGGTGGCTTTCTGCGTGGGTCTGGTCTTGGAGGGCCTTGTGAAATTCTATTTGTTTTGGTGCGGGATTGGTTGGTTTCTGGGTTCATTGATAGGGAGGTATGAGTAGATAGGTGAATAGGTCATCATAGGTCTTTTGGTTGATGGCAAGATGGGCCGCTTTCCATGCTTCCAATTGTTGGATGGTTTGTGGACCGGACGGACGTTTCTGCGCGTGGCCTCGCCCGCGGCGTCGCTGAGGGTCCGCCGCGTTCTGTTTTGGGGTTTCAGGAGATCTTGCGCAGCAGCGATGACGGAATTGCAGGCATCAAACAGGCGCCAAGTCGTGGACGGAGTGGAGGGCAAGGCCACAGTTTCGCAAATGGATCAATCCTAGTTTCCTTTAAAACGACACAATGCCACAGACCACCGTAGAACACTTGGTTCAGTTTCAAATCTGTGACACTTTCGGAATCTCTCTTCTATATTCTTTCTATATTCTTTCTTGCATTTACGGCACAAATCTCACCCTCGCTTCCATCCACTTGTCACCTTGTCACCTTGCTCCCTTCACCGGTAAACCGGTTTCGTCCCGGTTGCGTCCGAAGCATCGGTCTGCTTACGAGTTGTGGGCCAGCCCTGAGCAGCTCCATGGACGTTCCAGTTCGTGGTGGCACGTGTGAAACTGAACAGCTTTTCAAAACAGAAAGCATCATCCGAGAGCGCTGGTAATGAACATCACTGGATTTCCAGTGCTCAGATTCTCGCTTCGAGAAAAGACTTCGAGTGCGCGTATTCTTCAATGTTTCTTCAAAATGATGGGGTGTCGCTATCGCAATCATCTGCCCAGCGTGTTTTAGTGCCCAGCGAAGAAGTGCCCACGATCGTAGGCTGCTCTTCAAGGCTAGTCAACGATCGCAAGCAGTTCAAATCCAAATCCGTCAAGGTCGTTGAGCGGCGACAGAAGTTTCCGCGCTCCAACGGTGAAGTCATGGTTCTTGAAGTCACGCCAGCAACAGGCTGGGCACTCAAGCAGATATAAAGAAGGACAGCCGAGCTGGGACGAGCTTGAGCTCACAGCACTACAAGTGTGGAGATCATTGAAGGTATTAAAAGCTTTTGACTTGCTGAAAATACTGTTGTGAGTCGTGAGTGTAGTCTTCGAGCCAAACAAAGAAACATGTTCCTGCAACGATGCGATCGCCAGTCTGGGGGATGATCACCCACCTTGCTCCGAAAACAGCTGCAAAAGCCGGTGTTCCCGGGCTTGTGGTCGAAATTCCAAATCACGCAGGATGAAACGCAAATTGATGAAGAGGCTTTCGTAGAATGCTGCAGAGTGACCAAGTTGATCATCCCAGACTCCGTGACCCGCATTGAGGGTGGTGCCTGGTTTTGTGTCGCCTTGATGCACTTGACCTCCGTGATCCGCTTGCGTACTGCAGATCGTTGGCAAAGGACTCGGTGATGCACATTGGGATTGGGAATCATGCCTTTCGTGATTGCAACACCTTGGTCAAGTTGACCATCCCTGACTCCCAGCAAGCCTAAGCGGGCCGCTTTCGGTTTCGGTGTGCAACCGAAACGCAGAGACTCCGACTCGATGGGGACTGGACGTTTTTCTTTTTTCTGGCATTCCAACAGCCATTGTTTCAATGGTCTTTACCGTAGACTTCAAAACCAGGTCAGGGTATATAACATGTGTATATATATATATAGTGTTTGAAGGCTAGGGTATATGACATATAATATTATATATAGTAATATGCCATCTCCAAGGATGGACGATCCGAAGATGACAATTGATGCAGGTACAGCACCCTGAAGTGGGACCAGGAAGAGTTCTTCCTCGTGAAATTCCAAATGGGTTTTTTCCCCAAACTAACATACCGCCTAGTACGGGAACCACATTCTTCCATGAGTCTTCCAAACCCTCCCCTGGAAACGGCTATGTTGGTTACTTGTGGCACCGCTTCCTTATGTGGCTGGTGGTGCTTGCTGCAGCTCGAACATGAACCCCCCCAAAAAAGATACTAACGATTTCGTTCACACAGGGTTCTTAGGACAGTCCTTTCATTTCGATGGTGCCTCAGATCCATAGCTCATGTGTTTCTGTCCGAAAGCAAAGGAAGATAGGCTCGATCCTGTGGTCGACCTGCGAAGCAGAGTTTTTGTTTTATAGATTTTTTCAGCTGCGGAGGCCTATGATCTGCCCTCAAAGAGCAAGAATCACTTCGCAGAGGTCACGACAACCAACCAAGACCTCATGACTCTTGGCTTTTGTCGGCAGATTTTCTTTTGGACACGCGTGTGTGAATGTATGTGGCAGTGATGGGTATCGGAAAGCTGGCGTGGATGTGGTAGGAGTACGTCCTAGCTTGCCCCTTTTTTTGATTAAATCGGAAGCTTCCTCCCACGCGAAACTGTTGCCCACTTCGAAAAAGATGTTTGCCTCCTGCTGCAGCACGCCTTCTCTACACGCCACCTCTGCAACACCCTCACATGTGTGAACCGGGCGTGCTCCCTGAACCAGACCGGGCGTGCTGGTTGCACGTGCTATGGCGCGCTTGGGGTTTTCGCCCAGGAAGCACCCGAAGGTCTTCACTTTGAGCGCCAAGACGCGGGAGCTGCGCACCGCGCTGGCCGAGCCCAGCGGCGACTTCGGGCGCGCGGGGCGGTCCAGCTGGCACTACAACATTGCGCGCCCGCTGGGACGCAAGGTGTGGAGCTGGGGGGGCTGGGGTGGGGCTAACCTCTGGGAACTTCGCTTGGAGCCCTGTAGTGCTCCAACCGTTGGACCCCCGCCTGGTGCAACCACGTGCAATCAACCAGCTAAAGGAACCGATTTCCTTCCTCCCCCCCACGGTCCATTGTGAGAATCACAGGGTTGAGACCCTTCGGGACACTCTAAACACTCGAGGAGAACAGGTGCCCGGTCCACTCTTCCAAGACGAATGCCCCGGAGCCTCTGGCCTCTGTGGTCACCATGCCCGGACCATCCATTGTTCCACACATTTTTCTGGTCGAATACGAGGACCAGCGGTCAAGTCCTGACAGCGCGTCCGCGCGTCCGCGCGTCCGCGTTCCTTGCGCGGTCAGGTGAAGCTGCACCAGATCCCCTCCGCGAAGTTCGATGGCAGCTTTCTGCACTCGGACTTCACACAAACGCGACACATCGCTCCTTCCGGGCGCGCGCCCGGTGCCGAGGCGCCGGAGTGGGGAGGGCAGGGGAGGAGTGCTGTGCCGCCGTTTTGAAGGGAGACGCTTTTTCTCAAGTCGCTTTTCGAGGTGGACGAGGCGAACCTCTGGCTTTTGTCTCATCAGGGGAGCCTGACAAGTTGGGAAAGGGAGATGCTACCCATTGAATTGGTTGGTTCTGGTTGCCTCTTTTTGCCCATTGAGAAGGCATAGTTCCTGTGCATTCTCAGAATGGCCATACAAAATACTATAGGGAGCGTGTGGGCAGCCATGCCCACACTGGAGGGTCAGTATTTCGGATGTTGGGCTTGGTGGGCAAAGAAGATGTCCACCTTGTGGGAATGGGAACAACTGATGCATCTTGCAGATTGCAAACCAAGGTTTTGGATAAACTCAGAGCCTATCTTTGTACCTTTCCACTCGAAGATGGTCGCTGTACCTCAGATGATTCGTTTGCCGAGGACGCTATTAGGAGCATTTCGGGCGTCGCTACGAACGGAGTACTAGAAGCGCTCCTGGCCTCACTACGAACGGAGCAATGTTCGCTACGAACGGAGCTTTCACGTCTCCGCCGGTCCTCTCCGCTGTCTCCTCCAGGTCTTGTCGGTGCTGCCCGAGGTGGGCGGCTCGCGGCCGCGCAGCCAGTGCACCGGCTCACGGCATTCGAGCATGGCGAGCACCACGCCGCGGCGGGCGAGGGTCGAGTTTGAGACGATCTTCAATCGCACCAAGCTGCCACTCGTTGGGTGAAGGGAACCCGATATTGGATTGGTCAGATGTGGAGACTGAGAAGACCCTTGAGGCCCCGGGGCCTTGAAAGGGTGTCTTCGTTCGTCCTGAGTCTTCCTGAGTCTTCGTTCGCTTTGGACCCTCGACACCTCGGAGCTCGGCTCGGCTCGGCTCGGGGGGCTTGGTCGCACGCGACTCAGGACAGGCTGGGCGGACTTTTCCCCCACCATCCAGCATCCACGGCTTTGGTGAGAGCGACTGAGACTGATATCCGAAGACGAAGAAAAGGAGTTGACAGGTCAAAGAGTTGAGAGGCAGCATAGAAGGATTGCAGGGTGGGAGATTTCATGAGGCAGATATTTCTATCTATCTACATATATATATATATAATCTCATTGTTGAGACTGTTCATTCTATTGAGTGGTGTTGGGACACAACATCTTGGTAGGTCTTTTCCTGTAGTGAGACCATTGGACACCTATTATTGAGAAAGACGGTCCACGAAACAGGCTGGGCTTGACCTTGGCTCAGGTCGGCGGGCCGAGCTATGATGAGAGTTGCGTTTCGGAATCTTTTTTGGGCTTGACTTAAGTGTGAAGCCCGCTGAAGGCAGGTTGTTTCTTTGGTCCCGGGATGTCGGTGGCTGTCGAAACCGGGTGCCACCCTGCTTTTCTAGCGCTCTTCCAAGAAGAGCTCCTAAATGATCTTGGCCAACGTGCCACGAGCGAGGTGGGATGGATGTGGAGTCTGGCGTTTGATTGAACCATTTGGATCCATTTGGGTTGTAGGGCTGATAGGACTGCCTTTCCCATATCTGCCCTTTGGCATCACCTCTTCTCAGTAGGAGTGCCACGGGTTGCTTGAAGCAAAGCGTGGTGAGCAGCCGCCATGGCTCGAAATGCACCTGACTAGGAGAACCAAATGGGAGCATGGCCGCAGGGTGCGCGGGATGAACGACGTGTGGGAGAGCGAGAACGAAGTGACTGGGCAGAGCTCGGGGTGAGTCCAAAAGACTGGTCAGAACAGGTCTCGACCGGCCAAAGGGGACCACGAGGCAATCGAGAAAAGCCTCTAAGCCCTCGCGCGGTGAATTTTCAGCATGGCACTGCGACGCCCACAGGGATTTACATGGCCTCGTTGATGGGAACAATCACAGACTCTTGTATGAAAATCGCTTCATTTCTGCAGGCAGGCGGAGTCCAAGGGCTACAAGATGAGTGCAGCCGTGCCCTTCTTGCCCATGTCTCCTGCCCTGGAAGGCCTGCCAGGCGCGGGGGGAGGTCATATGTCAGCTGCGTGCGCATCCCATGGGCTGCAGCCGTGGGACTGGCAGAGACAACTCACACAGGATGGGCAGTCACCGTATATACACCTGCACCATGGCCGGTGGACGGCTAAAGAACTCCCACGAAGGACCTTCGCGTTCGTCTCGCCTGGGACAGAGTGGTTGTACAAGAGATTGAACATCGAAAGGACGTAGGAGCCACATGCGGCCACCCCATTTGATTCTACCGCCACATGCACTAGTGGAACTGTTGAAATTCCTCCTACCCATGGGGTAGCTTGACCGGCACACAGCTAGCTTTTGGGCTGATCCTGCGTTATCAGCCCAAATCAATGTGCAACACTTGTGCTGCAAGATCCACACCCCTTCAGTGTGACAGAATGGTCTACTGATCACCTCGGTTTGTGCTGAAACACATGAAATCGCTTTCGAACCAGAAGCAGACCCAACGAAAGAAAAAACGTGTGTTGATGAACATCACGTGACTTTTCAGAGCTCAATTTCTCGCAACATTCCGATCAGATCATAGAGCATTTGAGCATGTGTGACCAGTGTTCAAATCACCTTCCCACTAAAAAGACCAGCCGAACATGCGTCCATGGTCGTGGACTGCTCTTCAAGGCAGCAGTGAAATCAAATCCTAATCTGTCAGGGTTTTTGAGCCATGGCGACAAGAATTTTTGCGCTACAGCCGAGCGGTGAAGTCACAGTTCTTGAAGTCACGCCAGAGACAACAGGCTGGGCTCTCAAGCAGCAGATAAAGGAAGGACGGCCTTGGGACGAGCTCACTTGAGCACTACAAGTGTGGAGATCATTGTCGGAGACAACCACTTGCTGGCCAACGATGCAAAGGTATTGGACGCTGGAATTGCTGAAGATACTCTTCTGAGTGTTGTCTTCAAACCAAATATAGCAATATGCTCCAACAAAGATGCGATCGCCAGTCTTGGCGGCATAGTTGACTCGCAAGATTTGCTTGCGGTTGTAATTCCAAGTGACGAAACACAAATTCTTGAACACGCTTTCAAAGATTGCCGCACATTGGCCAAGTTGACCATCCCAGAATCAGTGACCTCCATTGGGAATCGTGCCTTTGCAGGTTGCAGTGCTTTGGCAAGCTTGACCATTCCAGAGTCAGTGATCTACATTGGGGTTGGTGCCTTTGCAGGTTGCAGTGGTTTGACGAGCTTGAACATTCCAGAGTCATTGAGAATAATGCCTTTGCGAACTGCAGCCCCTTGGCAAACTTGACCATCCCAGACTCGGTGACCCACATTGGGGATATAGCCTTTGCAAATTGCAGCTCTCTGGCGAGCTTGATCGTCCCAGACTCAGTTTTGGTGAACTTGACCATCCCAGACTCGGTGACCCACATTGGTGACCACGCTTTTCAAGGTTGCAGCTCATTGGTCAGCTTGACCATCCCGAACTCAGTGACCCAGATTGAGCGATGTTCCTTTAAAGAATGCAGCTCTTTTGCAAACTTGACCATTCCGGACTCAGTGACCCACACAGGGAGTAGTGCCTTTCAGGATTGCAGCTCTTTGGCAATCTTGACCATCCCAGACTCGGTGACCCAGATTGAGCGATGTTCCTTTAATGAATGCAGCTCTTTGGCAAACTTGACCATCCCGAACTCAGTGACCCGCATTGGGGGTAGTGCCTTTCGGTCTTGCATCTCTTTGGCAAACTTGACCATTCCGGACTCGGTGACCCACATTGGTGACAAAGCTTTTGAAGGTTGCAGCTCATTGGTGAGCTTGATCATCCCGAACTCAGTGACCCAGATTGAACGATTTTCCTTTGCAGGTTGCAGCTCTTTTGTCAACTTGACCATTCCACACTCAGTGATCCGCATTGGGGGCAGTGCCTTTGAGGATTGCAGCTCTTCGGCGAACTTGACCATTCCGGACTCAGTGACCCACATTGGGAGTAGTGCCTTTCAGGATTGCAGCTCTTTGGCAAACTTGACGATCCCAGACTCAGTGACCTACATTGAGGATTTTGCCTTTGCTGGTCGCCTCGCACAAAAAAGCAACTGACATGATGCGGCTGTTTGAGGACTTTTGACGACCGTTCGGCATTGTCCAAGTTTGTTTTGTTTGCTCATTATATACTAATGTTTATTTTTTTCTGGTCTTGGACAGCAGGACAGGAGACAATCTTGGAACATGTCTTTTTGTTCGTCATGTTGGTATGCTAGCAGTTCCTTTGAGGGTCACAACCATTTACCTTGAAGGGTCCTTCTGAGATCTCCAGCCGCTTCCCAAGCGGTTACCACAAGGTATGTAGTATGGAGGCTTCCGAGCAAGGAACAGCATCCTCGAAGGAAAGCCTTCAATCTGTTCTAGGGAAAAGGTATGGAATATCGTTCTGATTCTGGCCATCTCTCCTGCCCGTCCAAGCTGCAGCTGCGGCACGTGTTCGGTTCGCCCTTTCCTCCCCAAACCCGTGCGTTTGGCGCTCCCAAACACTCCACGCTCCGCTCCCAGGCGAGGAGGAGGGCTTCGATCCCATGGGCTTCTCGTTGGCCATCGACATCCGTTGGCTCCGGGAGGCAGAGCGAGACGGAGGACGTCAGCGCGACGTGAGAGCGACGTCAGACCTGTTTGGCTTCCCAAAGCGGACGCGTCCGTCCGGGGTGAAGTGGCCAGTGAGAATGTGCTGGGTCTGAGAGTCAGATAAACACCTGCAGCAAGAAGACGTGCATGTTTTTATTTTCCCGGACCGGATGGATTGTTTGGCCGGGAGTTCTCCCAAAAATCATTGTCCGTAGGTCAGATTAGGTCAGCCAACCAGTTGGATTTTACCTGGATGGCCATGTATGAACACCACTAGCAGTATGAACATGTACTGCATCGAAAAGAAGAACTGGCCATCAGTTGTTGAAGTGTCCTTCTTCAGACCTACGTCGTCAAAAGGGGCAACTTTCCCCCGTGTTCCACCCCTTTTGGATGGACCAACAGCGTGGTGCTGTTCTCCCGGTGGGTGTTTTGAGGCTGAATGTGAAGGCCTGACGCTTGGAGTCATGCCTCTGATCACATGATCACAGGAATGGGAAACGGAAAGCCCTTTTCGAATGGTAGCGCACAAAAAGAGCATCTCTCTTGACCATGCAGCACTTGGTCACAAATGACGCATGCTGCCCTAATCCAGGCCTTCTTTGGCCTTCTTTTGGGTTGTGAAAGAATCAGGGAGCCACTGAGGACTGAGGTGTTTCTTCGTCCGGTGGCTCATGACCTGAGAACCGACAGGCGGCCAAGACAACCTTGACTAGGTTTTTCAGGAGTTTTTGAAGGGTCTGAAAAGGCAAATGACCTGGACCAGCCTCCTCTTTTGAGGAGGCCGACTTTAATGGAAAAACATATCATGGGATCTACCTAACACCAATCCTTCTGCATACCGGCTGCATACCAGCGTCTTGGGAACATCCCTTCTCTTTTTTGTATTAGCTTATCCTTTGGCTCGGTTGGCAGTTGGTTGCTCAGGCGGAGCTGAAGCACGGCCGTGTGGCGATGCTGGCCACCGTGGGCTGGATCGCCACGGATCTGGGTCGCGTCCCAAGGGGTAGCTGGACGGACATCGCTGTCTGTCGGTTGGAGACCATCGCTACAAAAGGGTGGAAACTATTAGGTTGAATTCCTGGGAGTCCAAGACTATTTTTAAAACGGTCTTTAGGTGATCCGAAAAGGAACTTCCTTTACTTGGGTGGTGCCTAAAATAGTCTTTGGACTTCCAGGGTGAAGTTATCTAAGAAACCTTTTGGAGTTGGATTTCTGGGAGCGGCCCGAACATTTCTCTGTAGAGGCATGTGTGGAATAAGGTGTGATGGCACAAGCTTTGTTGGAGCGCATCTGTAGATTTAAGAATTATCATCTCCAGTGCAAATCCTTTAGAACGGCTCTCCACTTCGCACCTGGAACCCTCACCAGCACGAAGAACGCCGCCCAGTTGCAGGAAACGAGACCCTTCCGAAGGGCCAAGAAGTCACCGCTGTCTTCCTGTGGGTGTCGCCTTTCTCCCTGGCTTTGCTGTCGAGAAAGGGGTGTCGTTTTGTTTGGAGGCAAAACGAACGTTTCCGCCCGCGATGGGTGCTCAAGAGCGCAGGCTGAACAACGCACGCACGCTCGGCACGCGAGCGGGCCGAGGCTTGCGAGTGCCGGGCGAGCCCTTCCAGGTTTCGACCATCGAGGCTCATGATGCCATGGTGAAGTTTGGCTCCATGCCGCAGACACTTGACGTGGAGTGGCAGTTGGTCGGAATTGGGTCGGTAGTGGGGCTGATAGGTGGGTATATCTTGTTTTTTCATGGATTTTGGAAGGTGTGAGTGGAATTTATGTGTTTGGCACTGGTGTTTATATAGATAATCCTAGGTGTTTGTTGATGCATTGAGTGTGAGCTTTGAGCGTGCTCAGTTCGTGGAACTCTGCGATGATGAAAGCAGTCTTCTTAGCAGATACATAGGCCTTCTGACCCCTTCTTGTGGTGGTTGTTGGGTGAAGCATGTTAGAAAGACGGGGTGAACCTTGTGCTATGGTCATGAGTTGGTTCGGAAGTTCTTTTTTTTCTCCAATTCTTCATCCTCACGTCTGCGAAGCAGAACGTCTGTCTGAGGATCCTGGTGTGGCTGGGATACTTGGAGCTCTTTGGCTTTTTGGCCATCATCAACATGCAGGAGGGCAAGACCGCAGCTCGGACCCAATGCACGGACCACCGCAGCTCTTGGATCTGGGATCGTTTTCAACTCCCCTACATTCATGTGGCGTTCTTTGTTGTTTGAAGGTGCCCATTTTGGCCTACACGGGAAATGCGTCTGGTGGGTAGCACGAGCCGCGAAAGGTGAACGGAGCAAGGATTTGGCATCGACAGACAGGGGTGTTCAGACTGCCAATTCCACTTCCCACCGTAAACACCCCCAGGCCTCCTCTCCTTCGACCTCCTGAATATCCTCTCCCGTTTTCAAAAGGTGCTTCTCTGGCCCACCTCTCAGGCGCTCCTCGTGTTTTCCATTCTCTTTTTCCCAAGTCGTATGGCCAGGAGCCCCATTCGTAGCGTCCTTGCTCCGTTCGTAGCGATGCCAGGAGCCCCTAGTAGCTTCTTGTTTCTATAGTAGTAAACCTCCTCTCGCCTCCCTCTCTACCTCCCCAAGGACCGAAAGCCGGGCGACTTCGGGCTGCGGGGCTTCTACCCCGCCGATGCGAAGGGCCAGTACGACATGCAGGCGTCGGCGGCGGCTGAGGGCGGGCCAAGGGCTCTGCACGAGTTCAGGTCTGTCGTCGGTTTGGTGTCCGGGTCGATGTCGTTGGTGTTGAAGCCGATGAACTCAATGAACGATCAAAGGTGAAAGATGGAAAACCAGAGGACCAGGGCCAAGCGTCCGTTTCTGAGTTCCTACTTATAAAGGGGGTCACGAAGATCATGAAACAGGATGAACAAGGGTTAGAGGTACCTTGCCTGGGATCGAGAATGGAACATCCGGGGGGAAACTCACGGTTAGCTGTTTCTGGGAACGAACTCACCATAAAATCCCAGGTCTTGCAACAATTTACAGTAATGTTTGAAGATGTTGGAAGGGCCTGTTTGATTGGCGAGCTGTTTTAGATGCTTTGCGAATGACTGGCGGTTAGAAACAGAAGCCTCTCCAAGACCACACATCCACAAATCAGATCAAACCAAACTGGTTGCTTTAAGGGATGTCCCCTTGGCTGCTGGCTGCTAGCTGGGCAAAAGATCCTTTTGGTTTGCAAGTCCTTTCCAAATCAGGCTGGTTTGGTCTCCTACAGATGTAGGTCAAACACCACCCACTACCTGAGTCCCAGTTCTTCACACCTTGGCTCCTAGGGGGGCCAAACCACAGGTTTTGCTCGCTCGATCTCCACACCGATGCTGTCAGGTGAAGGAGCTCCGAAACGGGCGCCTCGCCATGTTGGCCTTCTCAGGCGCGGCCGGCAGAGGGCGCGGTTTCGGTCAAGAGGTGAGAGGTGGGGCGCGGCAGGTTGGAAGGGGTTGGGCCTTCGAATTTTTGGATCTCTCAAAGCCTCCGAAGATTGGCCTTCTCCTTGAGACCTTCTCAAGTGGGTTTCGCAATGAGACAAATCCCCCTTTTTGGGAAGTGAGACGGGAGGTCGCCAGCCACGCACGGGGAGATGTTCGACGTCAGATTGGTGGGGTATGGGGCTGGAGGTGGGGCTTGAGGTGGGTTGGTCAATGGTGGTTCTAGCGGGGTCTCCCAATACCATGTTGGAGTAATATATCCTCTCCACCAAGTTATCGTCCAACAAGTTATCATCAGCATGTGAGTCAGGGCCCCGTAGTTGAGAATCACAGCATTCCTTTTTTCTCACCGCATTTCCCCCACGAAATGCACGAGGTGTGGGGTCTCTGAGGAGGCATTGCTGGATGTCCTCTCGTTCCCTCTGCCAGGCATCGTCACCGTCGGAGTGCTCACCCAGGACGTGCTCACCGTTGAACATGGACAAGGGTCGAATGGCACCCTCAATCTGACTGTTTTCTTCTACAAACCAGTGGTATTCAGGGTCCATGTGAGCTTTCAGCGGGGTATATACGTTTCTTAGCGTTGACGGTTGATGCCAAACAAGACGTCCATCAGATGGGTGAAGCATCCCCACCTCTGGGTGGTTTCAAAGCTTACTCCCAAGCGTCGTTTTCGGCAAAGCAATGCGCATCACATCGGCTACAGGGCCTCTTGCAGCTGATGCTTCTTCCAGCACAGACTCGCCCCCCTGGGTGGAGCGACACATCAGACTTCGGATCTCCTGGTGGCCTCAGAACGAAGGGTTTTTTCAACTCCGTTTTTGGGACCCACACCGCGCGGTTGAGCAGATGCGAGGTTTCGAGCTTCTGGCTGATTCATGGTTGCCAACCCCCAATAACCAGCTTCAAGTGGTTTCAGGCGAAACATTAGATCGGACCGCAGCGTTTGTTTGTTTTTGCTTGCCATAGTGAGGGCAGTGTGGGCGCTGTGGGGATGGAAGTGGACAATCACAACACTTTAGTCTCTTGCAGCACTTGCCACCGAGTCTAAGCACCGGCTTGTAACTGGCCAGTCAAGTCTCTGCACCAACTGTTGCTCTTGTGGTATCCTGATTATATTAATGATCTAGATCCTGTGCTGTTGATATCATTGAGGTTTTGCTCAATCCAGTGACCTCTTTGTTTCAGAAAAAAGGCCTTGCTCCTGACCTGTTGTATCTCTATAGATTTTGATGATGTTGCTATGCTTGGGACTTCTTTTACTCTTGCTTTGTTGCATTCTTGTTGGCAATCCGCGCCGCTAGAACCAACTGACACGACCAAACTGAGGGAAGTGATCCGTCCTTGCGCCTCACTGGTGGATAACTGTGGACACGTGAGAACCTTGTTTCACAGCCAGTCTACTACTGGGTTTCTTCAGTTGCTGTGACGGAGAAATCAGAGATCCACACCTGGTCGTCTGGCACGTCCTTCGGCTCAGTCGAGCTCAAGTTTCAGGCTTCGTTTCGGCTTTTTCGCGTGCTGAAGATGATCCACTTGGTTCATGGAAATGCCTTTGATTGACTTCAGATCCAGCTCTGGATTAATCCAGCGCACGGCAGAAGAACAAATCTTTCAGACTGACTCGCTTTTCCATGAGAACCTGATTTGTACTCAGCCTCCCCTGAGAGGTGCTGTAGCGTTGACAAATGTGCGTTGAGATGGTCATCCCATCAACTTCATAGCCATGGTCATAGCTCATTCTTTATGGGTATCCCAAACACCTTCTGGTGATCTCTTCTACTGCGGTTCCCAGATTCGCCAGAAGCAAGAGCCACGTGGTCAGTATTCTCTCACCCTGATGGGCCTACATCTCATTTATAGAATGCAAGCAACTGACATAAGGATCAGCTGAAATGCCTGTGGAGTGATTGTCAATCAGCCATGGCGATGAGAATTCCAGCAATGCAGGTCAATGGTGACGTGATCTATCTTGAAGTCACACCAGAGATGACGGGAAGAGAACTGAAGCAGCAGGTCAAAGAAGGAAAGCTTTGGGACAAAGCGACTTGTAGACTGGGGTGGAAATTCTTGTTGGAGACAGGCTGCTGCCTAATGATGAGAAGGTGGTAGATGCAGGGCTTGCTGCAGATAGTGTTGTAAGTGTTGTGTTCAAACCAAACATCGTGAGATGTTCCCACAAAGGTGAGCTCGCCGGCTTTGGACGTGACATTGACTTCAACTTTTGGCTTGTCGTTGAAATCCCCGACCATGAAGTCCAAATTGCTGAGCGGGCCTTCAAAGGCTGCAAGAGGTTAGCCAAATTGATCATCCCAGGCTTAGTAACTCACATTGGAAATGATGCCTTCCGGAATTGCATCTCCCTGGTGAGCTTGACTATCCCGAACTCAGTGACCCACATAGGGGACAGTGCCTTTTGTCATTGCAGCTCCTTGGTGAACTTGACCATCCCGAACTCTGTGACTCACATTGGGGTTGGTGCCTTTTCTCATTGCAGCTCCTTGGTGAACGTGACCATCCCGGACTCTGTGACGCACATTGGGACAATTGCCTTTTTGAGTTGCAGTTCTTTGGTGAACTTGACCATCCCGAATTCAGTGACCCACATTGGGGATTTTGCATTTGCGGATTGCTCTTTGGTGAACTTGACTATCCCGAATTCAGTGACCCACATTGGAGAAGATGCCTTTCTGCATTGCCCCGACTGTACCGAAGGAAGTTCTGAGGTTCGATGCATCCCGACTGTACCGAATCTTCGCCTTGGAAGGTGAAATTCATCAGATGGAGGTAAAGTCTAGCATTGTCAATGTTCTATCTTTCTGGCTTGATTTTAGGACAGGACCTTGAGCTGGACCCATTGAATGGGGTGGTTGTAATATGCTACAATTTGTAAATTGCTGCAACGTTTCTGTGATCTCGGCTGTTCTAGTGAGCCCATTCTTTTCAGTTTCCAAAGAATCAAGATCTTGGATCCTGGCATTCTTGGAGTCAAACTCTTCAAGCTCTTCACTCTCGATGCCGAAGAACATTCGTTTGCTGCTGTGGTTGTGGAACATGTCGCTGGGTGATGCAGAGGCATGTTTCTTTTAATGGTCGACCCTCTGACACAGGCTGAGATGGGCAACCAAAATATCATCTGCCAGCGGATTTCAAGCCCACGCCATGCAGTGGATATGGCCAAAAGCATCGGATCGGGCATTCGGTCTTGCAGATCTTGAGAGCTCGAAGTGATCGCTCAAAGATGGAGCAACTTCAAACCGGCAGGAAACAGATCGTAGTCATAGAAGTGGGGTGTCGCTCGGGCATCGATCGGTTGTAGCTGTAGCTCATTTTGTAGCTCATGTTGCTCCATGTAGCTCATTGGCAACATGGAGTGTACATGGAGTGTCTCATTTTCGAAGAACACCAAGCTCTGTGTGTTTCACATCCCACTTTTTGCCAGTAATGAAAAAGCAGGTTTCTTCAGTCAAAGAGACACGACTTTCCCACGGAAGGACGAACTCACCTCTGCCGCCCTATGCCTCTTCAGGAGAAGTGGCCCTTCTTCAACGCTGTGGTGAACGCGGTGTCCTCGCCGTCTAAGACGGTCCCGGCGCCCAGTGTCACGGCGGGCAGCCGCGGGCAGTGACCTGAAGCGCGCACGAGCAGTGGCCGTGTCAAGGATGAGACATTTCCTGGTATGACAAAATGAAGGAGGATCTTGGGATGAATGAATGAAGGACAACAGAAACTGCGTACTGTTTCATCAACTGGCCGTGTACTTTTGAAGCTACCTCTTTCTTTGCACGCCAGTTGATGCAACTTCACGACCCGGTCCCAGCCTGCTGGGTCGGGTGCTTCGAAACCAAACATGCTTGGTCCAAAGAGACGCACATGCAACCTGATGTGGACCTTGGGAAGACGAGTGGTCCGAGTGGTCTTGAGGTTCCATGTGGGTCTCTTCCAGGGCGTAGATCAGAACATCAGAGCCCTGGAGGGAGCGCTCGCTCGCTCGCTCGCTCTCTAGGCGCTGTGAACATGTAACGCCAAGTCTCCTGGCATGGAGTCTCAACTCGTCACCCTGAAGAGTCATTGTTCTAGGATAGTCACGTGGGCCGATTCGACAGCGGACGTAGCAGCTACACCACCGCTGTCTCCGGTTCACTCTGTGCCACTCAGATCTCCTCGAAGTCCTCCTTCTGTGGCGCAGCAGCACTCTCGGCCCGCAGCAACACCGTGGTACGCCCAATGGGAACGGGGTGAGAACGGTGGAGGGCTGGGCCATCAAAACATTACGAAAGTGTTTGCAGAGCTGCAGCCACAGCAATTCCGAACTAGCAGAATGGTATCTACTTGTTTCATCCGCCTTGGTAACAATTGCAATTTCTTCATATATATTTCTATCCATATATATATATATACAGCTTAAACAAAAAAATATATATGTAGACAGCATACAGACTTCAACAAAAACATCAGCCTCTAATGTCACCGTTTCCTGCACTCCAAGGACAAGATTTCATGGAAAGGGAGGAAGATTTTTTGTACTGTGTAATGTCAGGAGACGGAAAAGGAGCTTGTTTAGTAAGACTGTACGATTGGTCTTCTTCGGGGCCGTGGGCTTCCAGGCTTCGTTAGCATGTGGAGCATGGTATGAGCATGGTATGAGCATGGTATGAGCATGGTATGAG